GCTGCTCCCTTTCTATTACAGTGCATGTGTTTTCAAATCTCATCATGGAAGAGGCGTCTCCTCCTCTGCGATGCTTTAGTGAATCACACTCCTCTGAGCTTTTCAGCGATGACGGCGTGCAAACGGTGACCTCGAGAGAGCAGGTGAGCTTAACTCTTAGTATTAGTTAGCTAATTGGTATTAGCGCGAAGCTAACTGTCTATTATGTGTGGTTCTGTGATTCATCACTTTGCTGAGGGATACAGTAACGTTAGTGCTTTCTGAGAATCATGCTGGGTATAATTATTCTAATGCCACTGCATCCAGCTCACCTAGTACTTATTCCTCTAGTTTTTTGCACTTCTGTAAATAGTACAGGTAACGTTAGGTTTATTTAAAGGGATAGTTTACCATAAATTGAAATTCTGTCAACATTTACTCGGCCTCATGTTGTGAACACAAAAAGGAGATGTTATGGAGAAAATGAAAGTGTGTAAATGATGACAAACTTTTCATTTCTGAGTGAACGTCTATAAACGTTGGAGAATCTGCTCATACTTCACTGGTTTATGTCATGTTGCACTGTAGTGTATGGCCTGCATTATTATATGGGTGGTTGACAGTTAACCATGAGAAGTTATTAAGTGAAAGGTGATATATACGTGTGTATTTAGAAATAATAATTTTAGCAAACAAGCCATAGAAATCGTATAGTTCACTGTGGTATTTTCAGTTTCCTTTATTTTACAAATAAAGTGTGACTGTTATAGTTCTGAATTTGAGAAAAAATCAAGCTCTTGAAATTCCAGTGTGCACTATTAAGTCATACTATGATTTTCAAAATAAATACATAAGCCAATATTTTTGTGGCTTTGTATGACACATTGAAAACAAGATGTAATGTCAGCCACCCATATATACAGCATATAGGCATTATCAGCCACAGTGCATCTTTCTGTCTGCATGTCATTTGGCTTGTTACCACATTTTCTATTTGGTTATTTCTCTTCCAAATTTTTTTTTTTGTTGTTTCCTGTTTTATCATTATATTTAGAGAAAAGTTGAACGCAGTATTCAAGAGGTGTACAGTGTTTACCAGCAAATTCACACCTCACCACAGTAAGTAAAGTTTAGCCTTCTCTGGCCATTAACACAAAGCAGGATCTCCACAATATTGATATATCAGTTCATTGAGCTTCAGTGTGCTGCATGTGGACAGCAATCACTGTTATTCTGTAAAAGTACATATTTTGTTCATGAAAATGTCTTTGGCAGCAAAACCAACATTAGATTGTCCTCTGCTTGTGTCTGCTATGTATGCTTTGTAGGCAGTCTTTTCATTGTTATTATTTTGCAGCATCACAGCATGTGCAGGAAACTATAAATAATAAACTTAAGAAATTTGCCTCTGGTAGGGCTGGGCGATATACCTAAAAGTTGATACCTCTGTGTTTTGCATTTGCTATAGAATAATAAAAAAGTTGATTTTCTTCTGTTTCCCGATACAAAAAAAACATGATTTGGATAGGACAGCTATTGTTTCTAAGCACTTTCAAAATGTTTAGTGCAAAAACACAGTTTAAAAAAATGTATACCTAGTGACCACTTCTTTTCTTTTTATTCAGTTAACACATGTAAATCTAACCGTATGTAAAAAGAGTGCAAAATGGGTACAAAAAATAATTCGCACATAATTTACATTGTTTGCGTATTTTACACTGTGCAACTGGGATAAATTATGCAAGTGTATAACAAGTTTTTAGCTAAGAATACAAGTCTATCGACGGTTTGTGGTTTAAGAGATGCTCAGTGGCATGACATTGTTCCCACTGGCACTAAAAACTTTCCGATTGGGGAACTAGTTGCTAGAACATATAAGCACTTTTTGGCTAGTTTGCAGGAGGAGTGAAATTTGTTGCCGTCTTTAGCACATTAATCTTGGTTTCGACAATATTCGATGTCACGAAATATTGGTTATTCAATTATCGCGATAACATCTCTAATATTCAATGTATATATTGCCCAGCCCTAGCCTCTAGTACATCTAATTTTCACCTTCTTCCACCACAGCAGAGGTCTGTGCATTTTAGGGATGCGCCGATCTGATATTCATATCTGGTATCGGCTCCGATAGTGCCATTTTTCTTGGATCGGGTATCGGTCAGAGAGGGCCGATCCAAATCCGAGATTTTATTTTTTTTTCTTCGATTGTGTGAATTATTCTGTGTTACTTCTGAAGCCATACGATAGCTTAATGTGAGCTACATATGAATATTTAAGTCCTTACATTAAAGTTCACAAACTCTTTTCTCTGCTGTGGCTGTCGGTCATTTGTTCAGCCTTTAAACCCTGGTCGCGTTCGGTTACAGCAGTCAGCTCGGTAAAGCTCTATGGGGGTAGAATTGTTGCTTAATTCCAAATAAATAGATTATGATCCACAAATAAATAGAATGAGATCCACAAATAAATCTTAAAGTTTCACAAACATGAATTAAATTCACAAATAAATAAAATGAGATTTGCAAATAAAAAACATATTCACAAATATATATTTATGTCACAATCACAACTTTGCCTGGCATTTATTTGTGAATCGCGTCCTGTGCATTTGTAGATAGCTGCACGCATTTGTGAATCGCGTCCTGTGCATTTGCGAATTGTGAAACATTTCTTCCGTCAAGACGTGCTGACAATCCACAAATACGTGGACTCCACCCACCGTCTACTCAAGCCAATCAGATAACCGCCACATTCGCTGACCAATCGTAGCACGATCTCGCTATAGCCAATCACGTTTTGCTTTACAATCAGGGCGGTCTCGTCCTGAGATAACTTCATGCATCTGCATTGGCTCAAATAGGTCATATAAGGGCCATACAATGGGTACAGTAAAAGATGTTTAAAACTGGATTTCGTTATACCATTAGACTGTGTATCATGCCGAGTCACAGTATTTTATGTTGTGTTTTATGTTGTGTACTATATGTATATATAGTATAGTATTTCAGTCTGGCGAGTAAACAAAAAAATATACTAGCCAATTGCGATTCAATGCCAAGGTCCGTTGAGGGTTGACTGTATAAAAACAGTTCGTGCTGCACTGTATTTGTTTTGTTTTGTCCTATCGTATCTATCATATGTTGCTGCCTTATTAAAAAATATGCTATACATTTAAAATAAATGTATTTAAATTTTATAGTATATACTTATATATAAATACATTCATGAATGTTTTTAAGGAATGGATTTTAGAATAATACAAATAGCTATGTGTAACATTTTACCATATTTAGTGCAATTTTATTTGTTCCCCACAAAATATTGTTTTTTCACTAAATGTTTGGACTTCTAAAATTATTGTGTACTGATTTTTCTAGAATAACTTTTGCTGCCGAATTATCCACTAACCTAGTTTATGATAATTTTTTGTCATAGATTATAAATATACATAGGCCTATATTGTTTCATATTTGTTTATTTTATTTTTCTTTATATGAAGTAGTCTGTATCTAGTAGATTGTGAAAGAATGATTATCAGTTCCACACACAGAGTATATAATCAGTATATATCAGTTCCACACACATCACGTATAAATTCTACATTTATTTAAATGAGGGAAAAAAACTTCACTGGTATCGGATCGGAATCGGTATCGGCCAATACCGAACCCTAGGTATCGTAATCAGTATCGGAGGCAAAAAAGGTGGATCGGAGCATCCCTAGTGCATTTCAGAACTTAGTGATACTCAGAATTTAGTGATACTCAGAACACTTGTACCTGTAGATGAAATGAGAAACCCAGATGTGGTTAAACTGATGTAATCAGACTGCCAGACAAAGGTTGTGTAACCCTAAACATTTGGAAGAGATGCTGTAGTAGCACATCAGCTGTTCTGCCGCATAGCCAGATGGTATTTTTTGCCGCTGTTGTCAAATTGACAACTTTTCTCATTTTACACTCCAGTGAGGAAACTGTGCAAAAACACATTTGTAAGCACTGTGCTTACCGTTTATTGCATGTAATAATATGATTATCACAATATGTTCTTGTAGTGTTGTAAATGGCAAATAATTTGTACAAAATTAGTACGTATACACAGCTGTTGAAAAGTGTGGGGTCAGTAAGACTTTTTGAAAGAAATTAATACAGTTATTCAGCAAGGATGCATTAAATTGCTCAAAAGTGACAGTAAAGACATTTATAATGTTACGAAAGTAGTCTCCTTCAACAGGTTTACATGCATGCAAGGTCAAAAATTGCTTTCGTTTTCTTAAAATATGCATTTAATATCACCTCATTTTTCAACAATTCTCAAATGATTCGTTCGAAGGAGTTCTAAGATTCAGTCTTTTGCCATAGTTGCGTATTTTGAATGCTCGACTGAAAATATAAACACCTATTATTTATCATACTTACAGGTTGTGATTCAGTGGAGAGAGCTGGTCCAAATAAACTGGGAACTGAACCATCTTTCAAGAGCAAGCATTTTGTGAAACTCGCATCGAACTCCCCGAGATTAGAGAAGCAGTCATCAGAAAAATTACGGGAATGCAAAAAAAGATTGGGGGTGTACTACTGGGAATTTTAACCACTGATTCTTTGCAGCCTCATCTTTCGGAAGTGAAAATAAAACGAATTTACACAGCATAGGACACAGCGTCTTCTCGACATGTTGAGATGTTAACCACACGAACAAGCTATAGTGTTCGCAGCTGACCAATGTAGAACATAGGCGGGCATTATGCAAATGTATTATGTGACGTGTAGCCGTTACGGAAGTGGGATTCAAATTACTGACGACGACTCGTTTAGACTGTTCTGAGCCGTTTCTTTCTTTTGGGGGTTAGTGGGACTAACTTTATCATGCACTTTCAGCTTTGCAACTTTGCAGATCGGTTACATTCACTACATTACACACTGCATGACAGGCAGTATTCCAAATGGCATAATAGGGGCACTTTAAGTTCCTTTGACATTTATATGCCTGTTGTTGTAAATATATCACCATGTTAACTGTTGTCTGCTAGCGTGTGTCAGTTTCTGGCCAGATGTCAGAGTCCGACAGGTGGGTTCGGTGGAGGTCCGTGTCAACACGCTCACCTGGCTCCCACCTACGCAGCTGTAAATGCCCTTTGCATCCTGGGCACAGAAGAGGCCTACGAAGTCATCAGCAGGTTTCACATTTGCTTTGTATTATCACCTGCTTGCCTACAGATGTTGCATTGATCATATTACCATGGAAGCGCAATCTTTTTCCCCCCCTCCCCCATCAGAGAGAAGCTTCTGGATTTCCTGTACTCTGTGAAGCAGCCAGATGGCTCCTTTGTGATGCATGTGGGCGGGGAGGTGGATGTCAGGTGAGTTTAGTCACTGTTGTTCAAGCATACCCTGAAGCATCTTCACAACATCCATACATCTCTCTATTCCCCATGTTCTGATGTTACTGTGCTGAAGCATTTTTCAAGAGTGACCTTTTACTGTTCCCAACAGACAGATTAGTGCTAGAAAAATGCTTAATGTTCACCATAGGTCAGCGCTAAACAAAGAAATTCACTTTGAAAACTAATTGGATCCTACAGACTTTTAGTCTTATTCTTAGTCTTATGTAGCTTGTGGTTATTAACATGCATAGATGGTGATCATTGTCTGCCTGTTGACTCATGGTTGCTATTGTGTGTCTAATCTGATAGGAGTGCATATTGTGCAGCTTCTGTGGCTTCACTCACCAATATAATCACCCCCACCCTGTTTGATGGGACGCACAATTGGATTCTCAGGTAACTACTTCCACATTCTATTTCAAAACATGCCAATTCAGTTACATTCAGATTATAATTGAATGCCCAATTTTGAATAATACTAGGCAACGTTTTTATTCAGAAAATATTTTAATGGACATTTTTAAAAATAATTATTCTGGGACGATTTAAAATTTTCTTGTCATGCATTAAGCTGAAAGACTCTATATAATTGTTCTTATTTTTGTTCTTGTTATTATTTTTTATTATATGTATGTTTTTGTATATTTGTACATATTTATTTAGATATATATATAATTTTCAAACAAAACTATTATATAATTGTTTTGAAATGATGTACATGACTGAATTGTGAAATTGAAATGATTCCTCTTGCCATGAATATAGCCACTGCTGCTGACATGGTGTTAAATCATAAATAAATAAATAAATAATACATTCAGATTATCCTAGCCAACATTTCATAGTGGAGCCAATGTAGGCACGTTATGGGCTTGAAGTAATGAGCTTGTCCATGAGTTCTATGTCGGCCCTATCTGAATTAGCCCCCGTTAGATTATATGTGTGATTCCGATTGGCTGATTCAAATATAGGCTCAACATGAAACCTGTGGAACAACCCATTTGGTGCCCAAATCTTGTCAATATCATGCTTATTCACCCATATAACATGGTTGAACAGAAAAACTCTTTCTGAATTTTTAGGAAAAACATTTTAATATCAATAAAAATGATTTATTTATTACAGTTTAAAGGGCCATTCACTATGGAAGGATATTCCGGAATATTTTCAAAAGGAATTTTCAATTGTGTTTTCCATATGTGGATGCATAAATTGTTACATAATCCAAACACAATTGCAGATCTCGCGTGACCGTTTGCGTTTTCGCAAATGCACATTGACTGCCAAATTTCAAATGGAAAAGCCAAGTTCATTTGCAAATGTATTACCCATGTCTTGCAAGTAATGAGCCTGTCATATTTAAATAGTAATATTAATTACCACATCTGCTTTTTCACTCTCTGTGTCACGCATGTAACCTGCCAAAACTCAACCGGAATCGCAATTTCTTTAGCATTTGAATTTTCGATGCCTTCCACGGAAACCTGTTAATCAGTGTCAGGAGTGGGACTAAACTATGGGGCGTGTTTGTATCGGGAGGTGACGACACTCAGACGATTGTTTTTACAAGTTGAGTTCAACATGCTGGGGCTGCCGATTTTGGAAAGTTTTTGCTGGGATGGGCATTTAAAAAAATCTGAAATTCACTTTTGCGCCATTATCTCCTTGTATTAAAGTTAATCTTGTTCGCATTCTGTACAGAGCATGTCTGATACCACGCGCTAGTGTGATGTGTTCATGAGGATTAGGCTAATCATCCCATATAGAAAACATCACAAGTCAAATTAATCATGTTTATAAAGATAAACATGGGTTTATTATAGCCCACTTAGAATTTACATTTCAGAGATCATTACAAATAAATTATTAAATGCTAAAACTGAATAAATTTAAATGAACAAACTTGGCGTTGCATTTGCAACCATGTGAAAACAGGGAGTGCTGCAGCCCCCTCAGCACCCCTACTTCCCGCGTCCCTGCGTTTTAAACACAAAAGCGTGTTCTGTCCCTAAATGAGTTAAATCTCAGACACAGCACACAGAATGACAATTCTTTGACTGATAAATACTGCGATGTTGTGCTTTCCTTTGGCCTTCAGCTGTCAGAACTGGGAGGGCGGTTTAGGTGGAGTACCAGGACTTGAAGCACATGGCGGCTATACCTTCTGTGGAACTGCTGCCCTGGTCATACTGGGCAAAGAACATATGCTGGATCTCAAAACCTTGTTAGTAAGTATCTTGCCTTGTTTTCCCTTTGCTACAGTTCCATCTTTTACTTAACCTTACTCTTCCTGTCCATTAGAGTGAATAAACTGAGGTTTATGAGATGCATTAAAGGTCAGTTGCGTGTATCCTGAACATTGGAGGAGAAGTGCCTCATTACAGGTTCCTCGGAGACACTAAACATGCATTGTGCTGCAATGTTGTAGATGCTTAGATTAGCAGATCTCCAGGGTCTTTGGCAGATGTTGAAATAAACAGTCCCAGTGCACAGACAGATTTGTCTTAACGATAAGGCAGCAGCACTAATGATCTTCCTATGCTGATACTTGTAAACCTGTAAATTGGAGGATTTTCTCTCTTTTTCCTTCATTAGCGCTGGGTAACCAGTAGACAAATGCGTTTTGAAGGTGGTTTTCAGGGCCGCTGTAACAAGCTGGTGGATGGGTGTTACTCCTTCTGGCAAGCAGGGCTATTACCGTTACTCCACAGGGCTTTTTTTAAAGAAGGTGAGCAGTCATCCTAGAAAAACAACAACAACACTTTTGCTTGTATATGAAACATTTAGCGGTAATCGAGTGATTAAAATACTACAAGGTTCATAAGGTTATAATTTTCATACATTCATTTACTTTTTCACATTTTTGTCTGTTTTTTCTGATGTACTTTTTCGTCTTCATTTAAACCCAACATGGATATAAAACACATGAGGTCTAGTGTCAGATTTGGTATATTAACCGATGAAAATATTACTGTGTGTGTGTAGGAGACTCAACGCTGAGCGTGAGTAGCTGGATGTTTGAGAGAAAGGCCCTGCAGGAATACATCCTTCTCTGCTGCCAGAATCCTGGTGGAGGCCTTCTGGACAAACCGGGCAAGTGAGTACAGCTCTTCCACTGCACACCCACAAATACATACATAGATAATACAGTCTATAAGCTTGCATTAATGTGTACCGGTAATGTGTCAAATTAAATGTCAGATTATCACACTTTTTGACATGAAGGCCCCCCACAGTTTTTTGTGATTTACTGGATAAGAATTTTTAAAAATATTTTTTACTCACAATTTCTACCCATTAAAGTATCTTAAAGCTTGGCATAACTTGAAAAATGTTCATAAAATGTAAATTTAATAAATTTAAAAATCACAAAGTTGTTTAGTGTATTTTAATGCTTGTTTTGTCTTACTTTAAAAAAAATAAATAAAATTGTATATCATTTTGAGGCCCTCTTAGAACTTGTGGGCCCTGACCCCCTGGTTTAGAATCACTGAAATAAGGTATATACTATTTTTTTTGTTTTTTTTCTTGGGGGAGAAAATGTATTGATGAAGTTTAGATAATTACATACTTGCACTGAATATTTAATTCATTGCCAACCAAAAAAAGTAATGTACATTTTTATCATCATGAATATGCATTTTCTAGTTCTACTCTGCTCTAAAACATTTCATCAGCTAGATAATGCTCATCTCGAATTTGTGTGGAGCAAAACTTTCTGTAGTGATGTCAAATTTGTGATTGAATCATTCTTTTGAAATGATTCTTTTCAATGAATCACAAACAGGATTTTTAATGATTTGTAAATATCCTTTTTCCAGTAACGAACAAAACCACAAACATCTAGCTGGAGAGGTCATGGAAAAACCATTGGCCTTTTGTAGGTCATTACATCTGTATTTTTAACTTTGTGGATCAAACTAAAATAAAATGTGAACTTTAAAATCTGAAAAATACAAAACCAAATTATGAAGACCAAACCAGACTTTCATAATTGATCAGCATTGATTCCCCACAGGTCTAGAGATTTCTACCACACGTGCTACTGTCTGAGTGGACTCTCGATAGCACAGCATTTTGGAAACAAAGACCTTCATAACGAGCTGATCCTCGGTCGGGACGAGAACAGACTGGTGAGAGATACTGAAAACTCGGTTGAGATGAATGTACTAATATAACTAAATGTTTTCATATTTCTTCCATCCAGGTACCAACTCATCCAGTTTACAACATCTGCCCAGAGAAGGTCGCCCAAGCGATTGAACATTTCCACCGGTTGCCTGTTCCAGTTCAGACAGGACCTACACCAAGTGCAATGGACCAGTCATAGACTTTTCCTCTTTTTCTATTCTAAAGTTATTTTGGGGGTTTGAGCTAGCTTGACCTAACGCAGAGGCATCTTCTGTAAATGCTGTTATAGCCAAATGTCCTTTGCTGGTGTGTACAGCATCTACAGATGGGGAAACACTCTGAGGGTCTGATCTACTACAGCTTCAGCATGGGGTTATGGGTTTTAGCCAGGGAAAACAGTAGAGACTGACTAGGCGAGGTGTTTTTCATGCACCAGTCGTTGATTGATATTTTATTGCACATACCAGCTTATTTTGGGCTTTGGTAAATGTTTCCCAGAGTGCACGTGGCAGTAGGTTCTGGACAGAAATAAAGACTTGGATGGAAGTTTTCTGGTTGGTGTATTATGGATGATCTATACTCACTGTAGGCAGTCCATCATTTGACTTTAATTTCTGTCATTTCTAATTAATGCGTGCGGTTTGACGGGTACGAATATGGTAACTGCTGAATATGTAAATATAGTTTGGCTACTCAGCCATGAGTACAGTGTTTACATTTTGTAATCTTTAGGTGCAATTTAAAAATATCATCTGTGCTGTTTAATGAGCTTTTAAACTGTATTCAATAATTCAGTCATCATGCTTTAATCTTAATGTGCTGGTATGAAGTATCAAAACAGAATGGCATTTTATCAGAGCACATTAAAGGAACAGTTCATCCAAAAATGAAAGTTCTGACATTATTTACTCACTCTCATGTCTTTCCAAACCTGTATGACTTTATTTCTTTTGTGGAACACAAAAGGAGAAGCTTGGATAAATGTGGACACTTCAGTTTTCAGAACAAAAATCAACATTGTTAATCCATAAAATTTGTCCTCACCCAAGTTTATTCAAATAGTGTTGAGTGCATCTCCTGATGTGTATGTATGAATGTGCGTAAGTATGAATGACATTTGAGCACTACGATGGAGGGGACTTAATTCAATGGATTTTTTTGTTGCTCACACGAAGCTTCACACATATGGTTTAGAAGACTTGGATTAAAGCACACATAATATAATACAGAACAATTTTATGGTGCTTTTGTTTTCAGTTTCGCATCTAAGCTTATTAAAAAAAATCTAGCTAAGTCATACAGGTTTGAAAACATGAGTGAGTAAATGATCAAATAAAATAAGTTTCATAAAATAGTGTAGTATAAAACTGCAACCATTTTTTCCCCCTTTGCGATGACTTAAATTGATTTAAAATAAGACAAAAGCATTAAAATTTGCTAAAATAATTTTTATTCACCCCCCCCCAACAATTTTTTCTTTTGAAGAGCCAGGGTTCCCACTGTCTGATATATAATTTTTGAAAGTGTGATTTTCAGACCTGAAAAAGGTCACGTATAAAAATTGAGATTACAATATATCAATTTACATTTTATGAATATGCATTAAAAATATTTTATCTGGTAAAAATAGGAAGTAAAATATATTTTTAAAAACCCTTTCCTCAATCCTTAACCATTAAATCACAAACATCTTAAAGTTACAGTGACTTTTTGTTGTGGACAACTGGGACATTGGAGTAAAATATATACAGAGAACCAAAGGAACCACACAGCATATGTAAAGGATAAAATAGTTTTATTTATATTCTCATTGTAAAGGTAGGCCTCAACTTGCAAGACAACTGTTGGCAGTATGTACAACATACCTGTAATTTCCATGGGATGGAATCAGACCTACTCAGTTTACTAATGTACTAAGTGGAAAATATGGTAAAAGATACACGCACCCGCACACTCATGTCTCCTAGACACTCAAAATGCAACTTTTGCAGTGTGCAGCGGTTTCCGATGAACATTTACCTTTAAAAGTCACGACATGAATCTACTCTTTCAATATTGACTAGCTTTGTGGGGAGGAACATCATTTGCAACATTTATATTCCCAATATGGAGTGAAATACATGAAAAACATGTTTGGGAGGCTCAGGTGACAGATGCAAAATATACGCTTTATCACTTTTTACTTTAACCCCCTTTTTTTAAAAAGAAACAAATCTCTTTTTTCCCCAACCTGTAAACTTTACTACATCAGGCTAAAACAACAAATACAACACAAGCTCAGCAGCCTTCCCATAAAGCATTTTTTTTTTAAATAAGGGATTTTATCGATAACATCAAAATGCGTCACTCATCCCATAGGTCTAACAAGGGGTACATTGACAGATGCTTCAAAAACATTCCTTTATGGAAAAGTAACAAATATTTAGAAAGGCAAACCACTCGGGACAATTCAGCTAAGGGTAAGTTCTAAGCAGGCTTTAAGATATTCGACAAAAAAGTATATTTTAGCAGTGCTAGGAGCTGTATGTCTCATTCAACCCTTTGGATATCAAAAATATATATATATATATATATATATATATATATATATTTTAGCAGTGCTAGGAGCTGTACGCCTCATTCACCCCTTTGGATTTCCATCCGGAGGGATTGCAGGCAAGGGTACAAAAAAAAAAACCAAACATACAAAGCATCAAGTCCTTAAGTTGCAAAGCTGCCTCATTTTGGGTTTAAATTATCGTTTGTTGTTGCGTGTGCCAGGACGCAAGATGGACGAACAGAGTCGGAGAGGGAGGGAGAGTAAAAACAAGTTGTTTTCCGTGAGTGTTCTTCCCGTTACAGGCGTCCCTCTCTCTTGTAAACCTGGCGGAGGTTTCTTCAGGTGTGGAATCGAGGGTTGACATTCACTGAAAGAGATTGATCAAAATGGTTTGGGGCGACAAGAAATACAACAAGAAACAGGCCATTGCTGTGACTCTCCCTCCCCTCTGAGGAGAACTTTGTGGAGCAGGCCGAGGATCCGCTGTTTAGCTGTCCTCCCCGCGATGCTTCTTCCGGGAACGCTGTTCCTCCGGCTCAGACTCCGAGCTCGAGTCGGAACCACCGTCGAAGGCCGATACAGCGCTGCCCTTGGGGTTGGTGTACAGGCTGCTGTCTGAAGAGGAGTAGTTGGCCTGCAGCTGCGTGGTGCCCTTGACTTTCTCCAGTGCCCGTACTGGAAATTAAAAACATAGGACGACACAATCTTCATTTTTTGCCTAAAATCATATGTTGTATGATGAGGCACTACAACAGCCAAATTAGACTTCTGCACAGAAACCTACTGGCACAGATCGGCATGACCAGACGACAAAAGTGAGGAGTAACGCAGCGTCACCCACCTTGTTGCTCCAGCAGAGCGTTCTGTCTCTTCAGGTCGTCGATGTCCTGCTGGTGTGTGTGGTTTTTCCGTCGCATGTACTGGATGTACTCTGTGGCTTTGTCTAGGATTTGAGCTCGGGATGCCTGTTTGATAGATTGCTGTCAGCAACAAATTAAAAACTAGAATTTGACGCAAGGAATGTAGTTACATTGCACACAATATGTACATTGTACCCAAACCAATTCAAACAACCCAAATAAGAACACAAATAGCTTAAAGGGGTGGTTGATCAGCTTTTTTTCGAAAGCTTGATTGTTTATGGTGTGCAGTGTAATGTGTTCATTTAAAAAAACGCATTATTTTCACATGTTTTACCTTTATTCTACACTGCCGTTTCCATTCTCGTCAAAACGGTCTGTTTAATTCCTGGTTCTATGAAGCCCCTCCCTCGGAAATACGCAATGGGCTCTGTGTGTTTGTGATTCGCTAACCGCCTAGTGCACATTGTGCAGAAACGTCACGACCCCTTACCATTACAGGTAGTTGCATGTTCCCGGGGGCGGGGTTTATGTAAACATCGGGGTTAGTTGCGTCACAAATCCAGGAAGAAGCTCATTGTAGTCCCTACCAGCCGTTTTTTTGTAGTCCTTAAACAGAGATTTCTTTGAAAGAAAATATCTCCCTTTGCATTGAACTCTGAGCGTCGTAACTTTGCAGACATTGTTTATGCTCTAACAGCAACATTACACACAAACTAATGTTCAAAAAGTGAAATCATAATCAACCACCCCTTTAAAAACCTCCTACTTAAAAAGCTACACATTTGGAAAATTCTGGTCGATACTGATAAGCTAAAAATGTTCATGTTATGACCAAGAACTGGCTGAAAACTCAATATGTCTATAAAATTAAAACACTTAAAAATATTCAATAAAAAAAGAAAAGTTGGCATCACAACATTATAATTTACAGTACAAAAACAGACATTCATTCTAATAACAGCATTATTGAATTATTAATCATGCTTTCAAAGATTACTAAGTGAGCGTTAGATGGTGGCAAAAAACCATAAATTCACTAGAGAAATAGTAAAATAATTAGGGAAGCATTAATTATTTTGTTATGACTAATAACCAATAAATGTCCGATATTAAATTTCTATACCATTTAAACCAAATTAATTAAAAATAAAACATTTAACTATAATCAATTGTTTTAAATGCTACAAAAGTATTTAGGCATCACAACATTATAATGTACAGTGTGAAAACATTCATTTTGAGATTAGCTAAATGCTCCATTTAACAGAGAGATTTAATTATTTATTTACCTTTGCCGTCATCTAACACTAACTTAATATAAATGTAAAATCAGAGCAAAAATAAATATCCAATATTAAGCGATACCAATAAATAAAACATACATCAGCCAATAACCAATATGGTACCACCATATTGTGCATCCCTAGTCATGTGACTAGAAATATAGCTCTATCATAAGGTTAAAAATGATTTCTACTACATTCTATTTCAGATATGAAACACAAGAGGAAGGAGAAACCGCATTTCCCCTTGTAATGGCTTCCTGGCACCACGCCTATACTTGGATCACATCAGTCAGTCTGGACCCACTCTGCTCCCAATTCTCATTACGCTTTTCATTCACACCTCGACATGGAAATCCCACGCTAATCATCTCATGATAACATTTCAAGTCATCACATTCAGTGTAACAGCTGAGATTTCATTAACAAAAAGCACACAAAACAAACATCCTTTATGTCTACTTGTGTTCTGCATGGTTTTACCATTTGACATTCACCAACCTTTTCCCCTTGCAAGGCGGGAACGGAATCCCGAAGGCTGTGAAAGCTGTCTTTGATGTGGTCCCTACGTTTGCGCTCCAGCGCATTGTGATGTGCCCGTTTGTCTGCCTGCAATGAGAGAATCACAGCGGCTTCAGCCTCTTCGCTGGTCATGGTGCCATTGGCTAATAGTGCGAGTTATAAGAAAACACTTATAGTTTAACTAGCAAACCATGTAGTAATACAGACCTCTAAATCTCAACAAAAACTAAGTGATCATGACAATCTAAAAAATTGAGACTTGTAATAGAGACAAGTTGCATATGGTATGTTTTTTTGTTTTGTTTGCAGCTTATTCTTGTGGACTATGTTTGTTTGTTGCTAATTTTTAAGAATTTCCTTTAGTTAATTTAAGACATACTAATTTATTGACTTGTCTGCATTTATAGGACAAAGACTGCACTGGGCTTGGCCAAGACACTGTTATTACATAAAAGCACAGCTGTAAAACCTGTTTCGAATCCAGCGACTCATTAACAAGTGCCCTTTTTGCATTCCTTGGAAAAAGAATCAAAACGAAAGCAGTTCTCTGAATGCTGACGTGCCACCGGGCAGCACAAAGACATTCCAGCGTCTATGCTGCACCTGGAAGAGCTATGTGTGGCCATCCAGTGATCCAGTCTGTCTGCCTAATGTCTAGAAGGTTACATTGTACACTTCCAATGTCAGGATTTAATTACATGCACGTGAAGTGGCCAAGTGCTCAACATGACAAGGGCTATTCTGCACTCAAGTATAGTGAAAACTATGCATGTGGTTTCTCCACAATTCTATCATAAAAATAACAATGTCTCCACTAAATTAAAGGTATAAAGGGCTGTAACTTACATAAAAGAAAGCAAAATGATAAGTACAATTGTAGAGAAAAGCTTTCTTGGAATATTGTCTACAACATGCCTTCCTGTTGTCCTATGATCTCAACATCCTGATAAGAAAAACTATTTCCTCCCAGCACAAAAAGAAGTGGGAGATAACAGGACTTTGGGGACACTGCAGACATCGTGTCTCCAGTCTACCCAATGAAAACTCAAGGCCAGTAAAAACAAGCCTGCTTTTTGTGATGAGTGCTATTTGAAACATCTTGCTATGAACTCCATTGACACACCTTTCACACTGACCAGTCACTACTTAAAGTGATAGCTCACTAAAAAAATAAATAAAGCTTTTGACATCATTTACTGACCCTCATGTCATTCCAAATCTGTATGACTTTCAAGTGTGGAACACAAAACAAGTGTTGTTGTTTTTTTATTCATTCAATGAAAGTCAGTGAGGACCAATGTCATTTTGGACTGCATTAACTTCCATCATATGGATAAAAGCAGTTGAAACGTTCCTCACCATATCTTATTTTTGTTTGAAAGCCATACAGGTTTGGAACGACATAAATGTGAGTAAATGACGTCGGTTTTGTCGATCCCTTTAACATCAAAACAGGTTGGGAAGTCAAAAAATAACACTACTGTACAGTTAAAGTCAATTATCTAGTCTCAGTTTTAATCTAGGGTGTGAAGGGGTCTACAAGCCCATTTTCTAGTTAAACAGAGCAAACAGTTCACTGGTCCCATCTCCACAAAATCCCAAGAAATGTCCAAATGCACGGAAAGCTATACTGTATTAATTTCAAAGTGACATTAAGTGAACTAAGGAGATGATCAGGCTTTTTTTAGTTTTTGAAAATGCCCAAGTTCACATTGTAATCCACTTTATTATTTTATACCGTTTCTGAGAGACATTTACATTTTTACTTGGTCACATAATTTAAATGAAGCACTCAGCAATGTAGTTTTAAATTGATTTAGGGGATAAACGATTCTATGCCACTACTGCACTTCTACACTACATTTTTCTTTAAAGATTCATGTTTGTTAGCAATACTCGTTAAGCAGCAGGAATAAAGTTTTGACATCATTTACTGACCCTCATGTCATTCCAAATCTGTATGACTTTCAAGTGTGGAACACAAAACAAGTGTTTTTTTTTTTTTATTCATTCAATGAAAGTCAGTGAGGACCAATGTCATTTTGGACTGCATTAACTTCCATCATATGGATAAAAGCAGTTGAAACGTTCCTCAGCGTATCTTATTTTTGTTTGAAAGCCATACAGGTTTGGAACGACAAATGTGAGTAAATGACGACGGTTTTGTCGATCCCTTTAACATCAAAACAGGTTGGGAAGTCAAAAAATAACACTACTGTACAGTTAAAGTCAATTATCTAGTCTTACTTGGTCACATAATTTAAATGAAGCACTCAGCAATGTAGTTTTAAATTGATTTAGGGGATAAACGACTCTATGCCACTACTGCACTTCTACACTACATTTTTCTTTAAAGATTCATGTTTGTTAGCAATACTCGTTAAGCAGCAGGTTCACGCACTTGTTCAGGCCTCTGGGTCATTGTGATGTATAATGGTAAAAGCCAAAGCATTATGCTTTAATAAAAGGACAATCACAAATGCATATAAATGTAAGGTGTGAAAGCCTGAGAAATCAACTGCCTTAAAACCTCACTGCAGTGCCCAGACTGGACATTTTACAGTTAATTTAAAGTGATAGTTCACAAAAAAAAAAATGTAAATTGCATCATCAAAACCTTCATGTTTCAAATCTGTATGACTTTAATACAGAATATAGAACATTTAATACAGAATATTAGGGACTGATAGACCTTCATCTTCATTGCATCTTTTCTCATTTTTTGCATTTCACAGAAAGATTTGCGTATTTGTCGCACTTAAAAGATTCAGATCAAACAAATTTTAATATTACACAAAGATAATCTATTTTAAGTGATTTCTTGATTCAGCAGGTCTAGCAGTAATCAGGTCTGGGTGTGGCTAGTGAAATTTAACCCAGCTTTCTAAAATAATGTGGTTAATTACAGTTCTTTCATGATTTAACAGGAGGGGGCAATTCATTTTTCACGTAGGGCCACATAGGTTTGGACAGCTTTTTTCCCTTAATAAATGAAATCATCATTTAAAAACTGCATTTTGTATTTACTTGCATTATCTTTGTGTAATATTTAAATTTGTTTGATGATCTGAAACATTAAAGTGTGACAAACATGCAAAAAAATAAGAAATCAGGAAGGGGGCCAACACTTTTTCACACCACTGTATGTATGAATGTATGTGTGTGTGTGCATATATATATATACATACATACAGTATAAAAAAAATACTAGGTCTGGGTTTCGTGATCCTGGTTCACGCGCCTTAATCCATGCAGGGCTTTCAGAAAATCAGCGCGCGACATTAGTCTATTTCAGAGTGACAGTATGAGATTAATACACGTTTTGCTCAAAACTTACTCTACTGTGACCTAATGCAGATATTGTATATAATAAACTGACGCATAAATGTATTATGAACGCAGAAGTTTACCATCACCGCAATGTGGGAATTATGATCACGCAATATTGCCTGAGGGATCGGCAGAGAATCTTTCTGCGAGTCATTAAGAAATGATGGTCCTATTCTATTTAAAGAAATATGAGGTAACCGTATGAATACATAATGTGCACACTTTTGGAGTAAAGGTTTGTATGTTGTGCAGCGAAGCACTGATCAAATGGAAGCAAACACTATTGAATATGTACAGGGTTGTCTCTCGTTATTCTATTCAAAATATCATTAACTCCTGATTGATTTTGCATTCCTGGCAGAAATAAGAACTATTACTGTCATTGTAACCAAGTATGATCATAAACAGCGGTCAAACATCGAAGCTAATCTCAAGGTCAAATCATATTTCAAATCAAATTTGTACTTATTGTGCAAATGTTTCTGTAACAGCTGCAAAACAAAAATGACTGAAAATTGAAAAGGAGGATGTTCCATAGGTCGAGGATTTATATTTAATGTTGCTTATTTATTCATACACAGTCTAATCTAACAAAAACAAGATCTCATTTGGGTGAAATGCATACATTACAAGGGATCACCCTGTTGACGTATTCACATCGTTCAACTAATGCGCAATATACACCGCGTCGCGTCGCGTCGCGTCCCTCCCTCCCTCAGCAAGTGCCCTGCTGTCGAGCACTGAGCTCCCTGAACAGACTCGAAACAAGCAGACTGTGTGCTCCTTCAATCCACATCTACCCCTTTTTAGGCTTGATTCTATCTTGTTTTGTCGTCCACTGATGCAAATTAGCTACGGCTGTTCAGTACATACCCGGAAATAAATTGTAGCTAATCTCAAAAAGAGAAGCAATTTTCGGCATTAAACGCTCAACTGGATTAATTGCTCCGTTTATTACGCACCACAGAGTGAAATCTCGGTGATTCTGATTTGATGAAAACAGAACAGAAAAGTACAACTGTAGCTACAGCTGTAAGAGAGACACTTAACGTTAACTGGCTATCGATGGATACAATGCACTGTTTTAGTACATAGAATCGCTAATGTAAATACATGGAGACAAGTATAAACTCGACCCCAGTGTTTAATTGCTCATCTGGCTTGATATTCTCATTTAACTGGCTGGAAAATGATTTCAAACGCTAGGATGGCTAACAAGCTAACAGGCTAGCCTCATATTGAGGCTCAAGTATCGAAAACACAAGAGGTTTCGTTCTCATACATGCAGAGTACAAACAATAATAACTACACTTACATCACTGTCGACCTCGATATCATCGTTGTCGCTCATTCTTCGGCGAAGATAGATAGATCTACACGAAATGTTGTTTTGAAAACAACATGAAATGGGGCCCAAATCAAATGAACAAACAAGAGAGATTCACTGCTTACACGAAACGAGATCAACGGACTCTCCACACGTGACTCGCCTACACACGGACATTTACCGTGGCGTGTCACGCCTGTGATTACGGCGCAAGGCATTATGGGATTTGGTGTTTTTTTTTAAACTAAAAAGTTGGCCGATGTAACAGCGAATCTATTGTGTACAACTACAACACCCAGGCAGCAGTTCTGAGTTGCGTCTCTACTTCAAGTCGAAGGACAGCTCTTTTAATGAGAATGCTTCATGGTAATTGTAGTTTATTTTTTGTCGTGTTACAAGCAAGACACGTGGAAAGTGTTCAGTGCTGTTTGTGACTAATATGGTGATTACTAATGCTACAAATATTTGTGAGTAATACTACACGTTAAATATGTAAAGCATTGTTAATATTATTCTTTTATTATTTTTATTAGATCAATAACAATACAAACCACAGATGTATATACTATTATATAGAATAGATGAATAGGGGTTACAGTTTAAAACAACAACAACAATCTAAATAAACTTAACTCCTACACACCTATTCAGTTACCATTCTGAAATAGTAGCTTTGATTTCTTTATTAATATATTTTACATAAAGCAAGTTGTAAAAACACTATTTGTCATTTATTTAACTAATCATGAGGTTCAGAAAATAAATTAGCAGATTAAAAAAAGCAAATATCAACTACGTGTCCAGAGGTCAATGAAAAATGCGCTGACAATTCTTTACAAAATCTCTGAAAGTAACAACAACAACATTGTTTTTGCTGTTAGGGCTGTGATTGTCTATTTAATTAAAAAGTTAAATCATTTTTAACTTTGAAATTATAAGGGAAATGTCTAAATAAGGTTGTCCATAGTCTGACATAAAAAATACACTTAGTTTAATGACCAAAAAGGCCACAAATCTTATCACATACATGTAAAATACCTACGTATGGTATGCATAGGTAAATCAAATTGCATATTTTGATATTTCATGAGACCAAATAACTTTTATATATCTTTTGGTGATATGATTTAAAATTTCTGTTCTGTACAGGCTAGAGAGATGAAAAAAGCAAGAGAGATGAGAGGTGAGAGAGAGGTGCTTTTTCCCCTCTCTCCACAAAATAGTGCTACAGATAAGGAGCTTAAACAGTGGATTATATGAGCTGCTGGATCAGTAAAAGGGTAAAAACAAACACATATTTGTGTTCACTCCCCCACAAGGTCAGAGTACCAAATAGGGGGACTCATGCAAACACAAAAATACTGTCACTCACCCTTTAATTCACTCAATCTTTACTCTGACACATCCTATACCAGAACAAAAAGGACCCTTTAAATAAGATAGTCAGAACAACAACAAAAAAAAGATAAATTTTTGCGTTCCCAAATGTCTGATTTCTAGTACTGGCTGTGGAGAAGGAAACAGACTACAGGAGACTGAAGCCAGGATGAAGCGTGACCGCCCAAAAAGCAGTGTTGTCTATGTGGCAGCTTGCAAATATGAGCTCAGACAATCTGCCTGACCCACCAGCACCCTTCCCCCATAACTCCTCAGGGGGGCTCTGCTTCACTGCAGGATTAAAATCTCCCACCCTGTTCCCTTTCTGAGAAATGCAATGCCAGTGTATGTATATAAATTCACAGGTTATATCAGTCAAATACAAAAATACGTGTACCATTATGTTAGATAAACGCTTGCAATTATTTAAAAAAATGATAACATGGATAATGTTAGTCATTCAGTTTTGTTGGACCATTAACGATAGTTGCACTTTTCAGATAATTTTCTGTTTCAAACACATATAATGTTTATAATGTATTTAATATTCAACACTAGATGGCAATATAAGTATTCTTTATGAGAGCAATCTATTCAGATTAAGATTATGTTCAGTTGTTTAAAAAACATTTGACTAATCCAAATTTGTTAGTAGTGTTATTTAAAATAATATAGTGTAGTAATGCATTAAAATATCTAACTGATCTTGATTCATTAGTAGTACTGTTGATAATTGCTTCATTACTAGTGCTGTGTAATATAATATACTGTATAATATAATACATAAAAAATGTATCTAACTGATTTTGATTCATTAGTGGCACTGCTACTGATAATAATGTATTTTTTTCTTGATTCATTAGTAGTGTTGAATAGAATAGAATAGAATATTTTTTTATTACTGATCGGAAATACAATGTAACAACTTATTTGTCTTGCATAATGTACGTGTTAAAAATTCAAAACTCTCATGGCTCTAATAATTTATAGCTCAAATAGTAGAGCAAACTCCTCGATCTAAAAAAAATCCTGGGTTATTTTTTCAACCCAAATGCTGGGTTGAGCCTTTTGGGTCATTTTTTCAGTGTTTGGGTAGTTTCGTAAAGGCGTATTTGCATCCTCTTCAGGAGATGTTTACTGTTTGTTTATGGGCAGGTTATGGAGTCAGTCACAGCATATGAGTGAAACGCAGGGCGGCGGTCTGAAGTTAGCAGTTCCCCACCGAACACGATTCCAGCTCGGCACGAGAAGCAGCGGCGTTTCTTTGGAAATAGGCTAACAGAGTCTGATCGATTACATGTGAATTACTTCTAAATGTTTAATTTTTACTTCTAATGCTTGTTAAACAATTTTAAATATAGGCAATATGTATGGTCTACATATTAAAAACTATATAAAATATGCTATACTGGAAATATGATATGAAGGAAGTTATAATGCAAACCAGTGGTTGTGTGGAGTATTTTACAAAGGTTTAGATGATTCAAGTAAATCTGTAAACATTAATTCATGTATGAAGTAAAAAAATAAGCAAGTAGGCTAATATAGTAAAAATGAATCAAATCAACCCATATGCTGGGTAAAATCAACCCAACATGTGTTCTGTCCCATACTTACCCAGCCCTCGGGTTAAAAACAACCCAAATTGGGTTGTTTTGAACATAGTGTTTTTTATAGCAGCAACACTGATATCATGCTGAGATAGCCTAGCCTTTTGTCCAGAAAGAGCAAACTTACATAAAAACATGAGTTGTTTAGTTGTTAGATGCTGACTAACTGGAATTATTGGAAATGTCTAGATATGTTATTGTATTTTTGAAAACAAGAGTCTTCCATTGGCATTTCGTGAGTGCTGCATTGTGTAGGATGTGGTTACCTACAGTGGGTTGCAAAGAACATGAGAATCACAGCCTTGCACTAATTTCAGCTCTGAAACTTGGCAATGAACACCATAACTTGTTCATTTCTATTTTGTAACTTATCAAGGAAATTATCAATCTGCATAACCTGTTGCTGAACTTTTTCCAATGGTTGTGATACTTATGAAAATATATAAAAAATTTGTCGAAATTATTATGACTAATTTCCTAGCGTAGGAAAAAAAATGTGAAAGCAGACATGTATGATAAAAGGCCAAAAAAGCATATTTGTGTTAAAAATTGGATGTTGTAAATGAGAAAATTTTCAATTCAGTTTTGTTTGTAACAACTGTGTGAAGAAAAAAAATTCTATATAATATTCTATATAATATGCTGTTATGTTCCTACTAGTGTACATTGTTTTGAGGTGTGTAGCTTGAGTTTAGCCCTTAAAGGGTTAATGAACAAACGAGCTGGGGAAAAAAACTGTACCAGATTAGAGGACAGATAGGAAACCACTATTTTTCTCTCACTGGTTCACTCTGGCTTTCTGAGAAGATTCCACACAGTCACCGAAGCACCGCGTCAATCAAAGGTAGGCTTGAGATTTATTTTTCTACAGAAACAAATATACTTAAAACAACTTAAGCATTTGTTGTTATTTCTTGGATTACATACTTTTTGACACTTTAACTGTCTCTCACTTCTATCTCACAGTTTATGAAAACATTTCAAAAATGGTGGTCACTGCCAATTCAACCATTGAATCCAACTTTTCAAGCTTTGACGGGAATATAAACAACACCACCTCAAATGACTCTGCATTCAGTGACAATGCAGACCGGGTTATCCGCTTGGTGTTAATTGTTATTCTTTTTATCACCATGGTGTCTCTTGGATGCACATTGGAAATCTCAAAAATCAAGAATTATCTCATCAAACCCAAAGGGGTGGCGATTGCAGTTGGGGCTCAATATGGTATAATGCCCCTCACAGCCTTCTGCTTTGCAAAGCTGTTTCAGTTGGGTCCTATGGAGAGCATATCTGTGTTAATTTGTGGGTGCTGTCCGGGAGGAAACCTCTCCAACATCTTTGCTCTGGCTCTCCAGGGAGACATGAACCTCAGGTAATTCTTGAGACAATTAATACTGTCCAATAGTAGATTAATGGAGAAAATGATGAGCTTCACCTCACTGAGATTATTTGTTGCAAACAATGCAAGAACTTTTAGCAATCTATGGATTTCCTTTAAATCATTTGAATAGCTGGGACAATGGACCCTTTTCACAATACTGTGATGATGCATTTCTACGGTCATCAGCATTGTAAATCCTTCAAAGTTTTTTTGTATCTTCATTAAAAATAAAGTACATTTATAACACTATAGGCCTACTTTGTATTATATTAGGCCTACCTTTGCATCAAATTACAAAAAATCTAGTTAACGTTAATGCGAGGGTGTTTCTAATACAGCATCTATAAATAATGTATTGTAATTTTGACATGGTTCTCTCTACTGACTGCCGTTATCAGTCTCTCTCTGTTTTTGCTTTTTTTTGGAAGTCATGAAAACACTATCATTGAGTTTTTCTTTTGCTATTTGAGCAAATGAGAATATAAAAAATATATTTGTGGTAGTCTCCCATTCACTGCTATAGAAGTTTCCCCTACTATGACGGCTTCTGCTGCTGAGAAACCCGGAAGTGTGAAAAGGGTCCATTACAGATCATGAAAGATAAGCAAAACAGGTGTTTTTTAGCCCAGATGTTTGCATAAGATGTTTGCATACCTTATAGCGGGTTCCCTGTGT